CCCACTCCCATCCCCATTCCCATTCCCATACCTGGCTGACCAGGATGTCCCCCCACTCCCATTCCCAATCCCATTCCCTGTCATTCCCATTCCCTGTCATCTCCATTCCCTGTCCATACCTGGCTGACCAGGATGTCCCCCCATTCCCTGTCATTCCCATTCCCTGTCCATACCTGGCTGACCAGGATGTCCCCCCAATCCCATCCCCATTCCCACTCCCATCCCATACCTGGCTGACCAGGATGTCCCCCCATTCCCAATCCCATTCCCAATCCCATCCCCATCCCATACCTGGCTGACCAGGATGTCCCCCCATTCCCAACCCCATCCCCATTCCATACCTGGCTGACCAGGATGTCCCCCCATTCCCAATCCCATTCCCAACCCCATCCCCATTCCATACCTGGCTGACCAGGATGTCCCCCAGGCGGTGGATGACGAAGTTCTTGTTGCTGTCCCGCTCCAGGGACTCCCGCCGCCGCTCCAGGAGCTGGCCCAGGAAGCGCTGGTGGAGGAGGCTGAGCTCGTCCAGGCAGGGGAAGATCCTCTGCACGGTGCCCGGGTCGAGCTGCAGCTCCTCCAGCATCGCCCTGCGGAACAGCCCGGCCATGATCTTCAGCGTCCGCACGTGGTGCAGCTCCGTCTGCATCAGCTCTGCGGGGGCACGGCCGTCAGGGACAGGGACAGGGACAGGGGGACACCCAGGGACAGGGGGACACCCAGGGACACATTGGGGACAGGGACAGAGCAGGGACAGGGCCATGATCTTCAGTGTCCACACGTGGTGCAGCTCCGTCTGCATCAGCTCTGCGGGGGCACGGCCGTCAGGGGACAGGGACAGGGACAGGGACAGGGACAGAGCAGGGACACAGCAGGGGTAGGGACACAGCAGGGGCAGGGACAGCGGAGTCACTGCAGGTGGGCATGGTGGGCACAGGGCAGCGGGGATGGGGGCAAGGATGCACCAGGGACACGGACAGGGACACCTCAGGGACAGGGACAGGGACACCTCAGGGACAGGGCCCTGCATCCCCATCCCTGTCCCATCCCTGTGTCCCACACTGCCCTGTCCCATATCCCTGTGTCTCCTGTCCCATGTCCCTGTCCCTGTCCCATGTGCCTGTCCCTGCATCCCTGTCCCATCCCTCTGTCCAACACTGTCCTGTCCCGTGTCCCTGTCCCATGTCCCCTATCCCATCCCCATCCCCATCCCCTCACCGTAGATGACATCCTGCCGTTTCATGACGTCC